CTCTGCCTTCCGTGGCTGAAATCCTCAGTCTTCATGGAAAGATATTGGCAAAACACCTCATTTGCCAGTCAGCCTTTAGACGCCAGAACAACTACATTAATCTGTAGTGGTTCTGGTAACTCCAATGTCCCTTTAATGTCCCACATTAATACAGCAGCTAAAGTGAAGAATTTATTGGTAGCTGAATCGAAGTGGATTTACCTGCTACAAGGCTAAACGAACAGTTAGATAGTAAATCTCTGACACTTTTAATCTGTAAGCATCTGTTTCTATTAAGGTAGAGCTAGATCTATACATCATCAGTCTCCAATTAGGCATCCTTTCATTTGTTTTTTAATGCATCATTAATAGTAACTTGTCATGTTAACAAATTGTGTAGCTGCTTTAATGAAAGGGTTACTCCAACAATGACACCCCAAATCACCCCAATGACAACATCTAACATCTAACATCTAAGTATTACCTTGCAGGAGGAGCAGAAACTGCACTGAGTGATGCACACTGTACTGTACAATAGCTCCTGCAGTCCTAGAAAATTGAGTAATTTGCAAATAATCCTTTAAACTCCATGTGCCAAAATGCTAAAAACCCTTTTTCCCAACTCTAAATTTAACCTCTTTAAAAATCCAAGCAAACTCTTTCTTAGTCACCAATTGAAGCTCTCAAAGCATAAATCTGAAACAAAAACCCTTTCCCTTACAAACGTGTATTCCTGACAGTGTGTAAAAAAACACTATTTAGGTCATTGGCCCCTCTTTCCTCCATTAAAAAGGGTGAAAACTTACATTTAGTCTGCTGGTTGGCACGGTCCCGCTCTTCATCCTTGGCTGAGATCATCAAAATTGATGATCTTAGCAAATCCAATGTCTTCCCATAGGACAGCCTTGGAAGGCTATTGTGCATGCACTGTAAAATACCATGCTGGCCAATCAGCAACTCCTCATAGAGATGCATTGAATCAATGCATTTGTATGACAAACAATCAGCACCTCCATGCAGAGCGTGGAGACAATGAACATCAGTTTTGTACATTGTGCAGCACTGGTTAAGGAAGCACCTCTAGTGGCAGTCACTAGAGGTGTTACTAGGCAGTAATGTAAACACTGCCTATTCTCTGAAATAGTAGTGTTTACATTAAAGAGGCTGCAGGGACAGGCTGTAGACACCAGAACAACTACATTAAGCGGTAGTTCCTCCGGTGACTATAGTGTCCCTTTAAATGCACAATCTACCACAATACTAAATTTAACCAAACGCTAATCCTAAATTCACTAATTCTAAATACCCATTATACCACAGCAATAATCCCTCTTAAACTTTTAATTCTTTTAACACTAAACACCCTGTGTAATCTAACTCTGATATTAACCTATATATAATCTTAACCTCCCTTACACTAACATTACTTTTAAATGTTTATGCATTTACATAGCTGTATACAATCACTGCATTTGCACTTGTGTGCCAAGGGCTAGTCACACATATGCCTCGTTTCCACTGAGAGGATTGGTTCGGTTCGGTGCGGTTCGCTATTTTGGGTATTTCCATTATAAAAGTAGTCCATACAAGCGAACCGTACCGATCCATTCAGAGTCCTGCTTCAGATGTAGGGCCATAGGAAATGGAACGGTTCAGTTAGGGCAGAGCTACTATACAATCCATTGATTGGTGGACAGGAAGAGCATTTTTTCTAAACCCCGCATGGCCCTGAAAGGTCTGACTTGCAGTGGAAACGCTCACCAGAATGGGCTTGTCCATTCTAAACCTTCCAAACTGTACCGACCCGAACCGATTAGCTCAGTGGAAACGAGGCACTAGTGCACACATAATTTTGACAGCTCAAAACTCTGTTTCTACCCAGTAAAGAAGATGAATGCAGACTGTAAAATTAAAGGGATGCTCCAAACACCATAACAAGCTCTACTCCTTTTATAGGTTAAAGGACAAGGAGGTCCCCTGTCCCTGGTGTATGATACCTATAGTAATTGGTAAAGACCACGACATGCAATTCTAAGCGAACCTATACTTTTCCCCATTTCCAGTCCATGCACTTGTACAGCACTATAAATGTCCCCACCTACTGTAATAGCTCCATTGACAATTTTGTTTCAGTGAAAGAGCATATCAGTAAGATGCTCAGAACTGCAGTAGAGTTGATATCAGTGGATTTTATTAAAGGACACAGAGGCTCATATTAGGCTTTATCTCTTTCTTTATTCCTCAGCAACAAAGAAAGGATATTGATATTTAAATATAGCAATAACAAGAAAAAACAAATACCCCTAAGGGTTAACCATATAACATTCCAACATATTAACCAATGAAATCAACCCTTATTCTATGTCCCCTCATGTGACCTAAGCCACTCGCTCTTTCTTTGCTGCTGCCTCAGCTAAGTACCTCATATTTTTCTTGCTCTGAAAAATTATAGTATTCACTATGCTTTTTCCTGATAAAACTGATTAATTCATTAATTTTCTCTTAACATTTTTGCCCTTTACTTTTTACTGTATGATTTGTTATACCAGTTGCCTTTTGTTTTCAGATTTTTCCATTCAGTGCAGGGTACTTGCCCCTTCCCTGGGATAAGCCCCTACCCTGCACTGCCACCCGGGTTGTTTATAACCCATTCTTTCCTCTGTGTAAGGGACGCCCTCCGTTGTGCCTCCCTTCCCCAGTACCCCCCTTCACCTCCCCGGCTCATAACGAGCATTTCTAGCCGCCCAATGGATCGCGGCAATTTACATGAGCCACCCAGACCGCTTGCGCATGCGCGGCTCTCTCCCGCGCATCACGGCGGCCATCTTGAGGTTGGCAAATTTGCAGCACTTTTAATCGGCACTTGCGCCGCTCGCTCAGGGAGGGGCACTAGAGGTGGCTACTAGAGGTGTTGGACAGCTTACCAGTGTCCTCCAGGAGTCATTCCTGAGGGAACACTCGGTAAGCTGCCATATTATTTGTGCCAATCTCCTACTTGTAATATATAACTGTGCCCTTACCCTAAGTGCTTTAACACTATACAGAGTGAATTTAAACCACTGACATTCAGCCTCTGGGTCATAGCCCACTGTAAGAGTGTCAGTTTTCCCTGTACCATTTTTCAATTGGTTCATATTGATTAGTGCATTTCCCCCCCCAGTTTAATCTTTGTACTACATCCTGAACAATATACAGGCCCCTGGTAGCAAACAGGCTATTGCCCCCTCTACCTCGGTTAAAAAAAGCAATCCTGATACAACTGCCCTACCTACCGGCATTGCGGCCATTGGGGGCAGGGAGCGAGCATCCCAGGACCACGCGAATCCAGGCACTCCTGGATGCCACAATGAACAAGTCGGTCACACAGGCCATTTTTAATGCCATGGGAGTAATGTTAGACACCCTGTTACACACTATCTCCTCCACTATCATAGCATCTGGCAGAACCCCTTATAACCTCTGATAACAAGCCAATGGTCCCTAGTGGACGCAAGGCCACATGCAAATCACGCCATATAACAGGTGTTACCTCCAAAACCAGTGTGACGGACAGGTTGCACCCTGTTGAGAATGAGGACGTGGTGCTCCCACGTAAAAGAGCCCCCAATCGGGCAAAAGCGGTGCGGATTTGGAAGAGGGCAAAAGCCCTACCTGATTCATCCGACTCCAATTCGGACTCAGAGGAGGTTTCAAATGGGTCCGATGCCATCGACCCGGTTGACACAGACAACTCGTCCCCTGAACGCAGCAAGACTGCACCCCCAGCGATAGACGCTGGACGAATCCGCAGCTTTAGATCCCCAAGGGGATCCCCTCTTTGACCCCGACACCCTGCACAATCTGCACTCGGCGGAATGGTATCCCATAACTCATGTGGCCATCTATATAGCCACCAGGGTGAGAAAACCCCTCGATAAAGCCACAAGGAGTAAGCTGAGGGCAAAATACCCACGGTCCCGGACATGGCCTGCGTAACCCCCGAGGTGGACGCCAAGATCTCCCAGTTCTTGGGCAAGTCAGGATGGAAGGCCAAAAAGGGACTAGACTACTCCCTCAAACATTGCAAAGACAAGGTCCTAGACATTCTCGGGCCTATAGCCAAAATCTTTGACATGGTCAAAACTTCCCTTACTGAGGGGACCTCAATTGACTTACTGGCCATCAGGGGATGGATCCAGAGAGTCATTTTCCTAATTGGAAACGCCAATACCGCATTGGCTATGGAACGGCGTAAAGCCATACTAATGAAAATTGAGCCAAAACTGATACATCTGGCAATTTCCGAGCCTGGTACACAGGCAAAAGGTCTCCTATTCGGAGATGACTTTGTAAAAACCCTGGGCAACTATGTCAGCACTTTCACGGCACTAGACAAGGCGCAAAATAATATGAAGCATGTGTTCTGGCAGAGGGTTTTTGGTGGGGCAGGCAGACAGCGGGGCCGTCTGTCCGGCCATCCCTCCCGGACTTCATACCGGGGCTTCCGAGGCCCCGCCACAACATGGTTCCACCCTCCCAAACCCAGGACGCAGTCACCATTTTTCCCAACCAGGGGCAAGTCATGGCACCCACGTGGAACCAGGGGGTCCTCCTATGGCTGTCAACCTTATGGTGAGTCATTTTCTTTTACACACCCATTCCTTATTACATGTGGGGAGCAGACTGTTTCATTTCCACGATGCCTGGCACAAACTAACCTCAGATTCCTGGGTCCTAGAGACCATTCTAGGTTACCACATCGAATTCACAAAACAACCGATTCAATTCTCATTACCACATCGGATAGTTTTTTTTCACGAGACAAAAACCTGGTAACAGACGAAATTCGCACACTAGAAATGAAAGGTGTGATCTACAAAGTCCCAGCTACCGCCCCCGGCTTCCTAAGCAACATCTTCTTAGTGCCCAAGAAAGGCGGAGGCATGAAACTAGTAATAAACCTGTGACCACTCAATGCCCATCACTTCAGGATGGAAGGGATACACTGCCTTCGGGACCTCCTAAGACTGGGAGACTGGATGGTAAAACTGGACCTCCAGGATGCATACCTCACGATACTGATCACTGAGGAATGCCACCATTTACTTAAATTCCAATGGAAAAAGACGATATGGCAGTTCCGATGCCTCCCTTTCGACCTCTCCTCAGCCCCGTGGTGCCTCACCGAACTACTGAAAGTGGTAGTCCCCCTTCTCCGGAGCAGAGGTGTACGTATGATCATATACCTCGACGACATGCTGATCATGGCCCACGACATCTATCTACTGAACCAACATCTATCCTGGGCGTTGACCCTGCTGCAAAATCTGGGTTTCCTAATCAACTGGGACAAGTCAATTCTGCAACCTACCCAATCAATAGAGTTTATGGGCTTCGATATAGATGCAATTCACGGAACGCTCAGTCTACCTACCACAAAGGTAAAACTCATCAAGAAAGAAATCCAGCGGACTTTGTCACGACCAGTCTTGACCTTACGACAACTAGCCAGGATAATTGGCCTGGTCTCTCCGCTTCCATACAAGTGATCTTCCCAGGACCTCTCCATTACAGAGCCCTGCAACAGCTCAAAGCCACCCACCTACGATTAGGTAAATCTTACTCAGATTCTTTACCTCTAGGCTGCGCAGCAAAAGAGGAACTAGCATGGTGGCTTTAACACATGGAAGCATGGAACGGCAAGGCAATCTTCGGAACCAGCCCGGATCTCATCATAGAATCTGACGCGAGCAGACTCGGATGGGTCCCACCTCTACAGGTGGAAAATGGTCCTCAAAAGAAAAGGAATCAATGGTTTGGAACTCCTAGCTGGGTCATTTTCCCTTTCAAAGCTTCCTCGGACACACGACCAACTGTTCCATACTTCTGCGTATAGACAATCTCAGCTGTCCGCTACATCACTCACTTGGGTGGCATGAGATCGTCAATACTCTCGAACCTAGCGAAAGAATTTTGGCACTTCTGTCTGAGCCACAACATATCAGTACAGGCGGAATACCTTCTAGGACTCTCCAACACCATAGCAGATTGGAACTCCAGACAATTACGAGACAACAGCGCATGGCGATTGAATCACACGATATTCCAGAAACTCCAACTCTGGGGCCCGATGCACATCGACCTCTTTGCCTCCCGGCTAAATGCTCATCTTCCCTCATTCTTCAGCTGGAGACCAGACCCAGATGCCATGGCAGTGGACACCTTCCTACAAAACTGGCCAAGCAACCGGCTATATGCCTTTCCTCCCTTCTCACTCATAGCACGAACTCTCATACACCTACATTGGTCCCGAACATCGTTGGTTTTAATAACACCATTCTGGACGGCACAGCCTTAGTTCCCTTCACTCATGGAAATGTCTATAGACCTCCTCAGATTGATCACAGGATCCACGGATCTATTATCAGACCCCGATGGGAACCCTCACCCACTTCTGGTGCAAGGCCACATCAGACTTCTGGCGTGGCTCCTCTCTCGGGACCCTGGACAATGCCAAACGTTTCACAAACAACTTTGGACTTGTTGGCAGAAGCTTGGGCCCCAGGAACAAGACAATCCTATACTCATGCTTGGAACACATGGTGTAGTTGGTGCCTGGAACACGGGGATCCTACGTGTTCCTGTAAATCATGTCCTCAGTTTCCTTACTACCTTGTATGAACAAGGCTTGGCCTATTGCATAAATGTGTATAGATCGGCGATTTCAGCTGCCCATGACGGATGGGAACGCTTCCCGGCTGGGAAACACTTATTGGTCTGTCATCTTCTACGAGGCATAAAATTTGCACGTCCACCACAACCCCACTACACGGCCTTATGGGATGTTGATATGGTCCTTCGCTTACTGGAAGACTGGCCTCCAAACGCAGATCTCACACTCAAACAAGTTTCCGCAACATTAGCTATGCTTCTGTGCTTAATCTCCTGCAAAAGGGTATCCCTTCTTTCCTCACAATAGTAACCTCTGCCCGGTGGCATGCCTACAGGAATACGAATGCCGGACACAATCATTCCGGAACCCGACAACACACGACCTGTTCTTGGCGGTGAGATAACGTCATCACTCAATATCCACGGTAACTCTGGCATGCTGGGTGAAATGGATAATGTCAGCTGCTAACATCGACACATCAGTTTACAGAGCTCACTCTACGAGAGGCGCTATGGCCTCTAAAGCATTTTCCATTGGTTGTAAATTGGAAGATCTTCTCTGCACAGCTGATTGCTCCCGAGAATCAATGTTCAAAGAGTACTACTTCCGGCCAACAGAACATATCTCGTCTATGGTTATATTACAGCTTTAAACTAGCCTAATATGAGCCTCCGTGTCCTTTAATAAAATTACCAGATTTTACTAATTACATGACGTAAAATTAAGGACATGGAGGCAAGTATTAGCCCACCCAAAGACAGGTAAGTCATATGTCTTATCGTCCCACCCAATTGCCTTTAAACAGGTAGGAATGATTTGGATGTTCAAATGAAGTGAGATTATATATATATATATATAAAATATATATTTTAGTTTGTTTTTCTACTGGACTCATGGAAAAATGATTTGGGTTTTGAACGTCTATTGAAAAAAATGGAACAGTTTATATGTATGACAACGTTATTTGAATATATTTTACCACATGTCTCTGTCTCCTACAGCTTAACCCTATAATGGAGTAATCTGGATCATCTTCTCCTTCCTAACCACAGCGGAAGAGTCCCACTAAAACCCTCTATCTAAGAATATTCAAGTTCAGCGTTTTCTTCCGTTGATGTGCCCAGCTTCGGCGTCAGCTTGAAAGAGCGAGTGGCTTAGGTCACATGAGGGGACATAGAATAAGGATTGATTTCATTGGTTAATATGTTGGAATGTTATATGGTTAATCCTTAGGTGTATTTGTTTTTTCTTGTTATTGCTATATTAAAATATCAATATCCTTTCTTTGCTGCTGAGGAATAAAGAAAGAGATAAAGCCTAATACTCGCCTCCGTGTCCTTAATAAAATCATGACTTTACGTCATGTAATTAGTAAAATCTGGTAATTTTCAATATAGACCCATTTTTTGAGAAATGCTCAGCTCTCATATAAAACAATGGGAAACCTAGAATTTGCAGACAGGTGTCAGATGTTTCCTTGTTTAGACAGAATGCACTGTAGGAAGCTGCAAACCCAGGGGATGCAATTTCTTTTTCTAAACTTTAAAAATATATATTTTAAAGTAGAAGCAGGGTTAAAATGAACCTGTTATGAAAAATTAACTTATATAAAATCACTCTCATACGAGGTTTGTCTAGAAAAATTCCAGCCGTTGTTAATATAACGGTTTGCACGACATTGATATAACCTGGCAGCCAAGAAGAGTGGACTGAAATGTACATGTGTTAACAATGACATCTTCAGTGTTAGTCAGTGAGGGCCAGGGCCGGACTGCAGTGACCTCGTTGGGGGGGGGCCAGAGGGGGCCATGGCCCCCCCCTACATCATGTTGTGCCCACCCAAATGCCAGCAACTTGCTGGCCATGTTCTTACATTCTATTCCCTCCCTTGTGATTGTAGTGTTTGCACTAACGCGCTGGAATGTAGCGATTCGCTGGACTCACCGACCAAGCCCCTCAATCCGGAAGTGCCCGGGGCTGCTCTGGGAACCGCTGTGTGTCCAGGATGAGCAACATCTGTCGATATCCCGCCAACCGGGGAGCCCGCCCGGTGCCTCGTGAACACTGATGAAGAGTGGTTATGAGATCTGAAACGAGGAGAAGAAGTCCTGGGCAGGGTGTACTGTTCCTCGCCTACCCTCCCGTCCCGACCCAGGGAGCGCCTGCCTGTTGCCAAGGCCTCCCGTCGCCCGCTGCCCTGCTGCTGCCCTCCTCAGACCTGGGTAGCCCCGTCCCGCAGGCTGATACTCCTACCGTCTCCCCCTGATGCCTGCCCCCGTCGACCATGCCTGGGGGACCCTGACCTATCCCCGGCTGAACTGCCAGACGTAGACCTGTGGCGCCGCCGCCTCACTGGATGCCCCCGTGCCCTAGCGTCCCTAATGCTGCTGGACCTGGAGCCTGACCTATCACTGGACCTGCCCCGCCTCCGCCCCCCACCTCTGGCCCCTGGACTGTCACAGCCCCCCTTTTTCCTCCCCACCCCCGTGTCCAGAAAAATTGCCCCTACGCCCCCCCCCTTCTGCTGCCTTCTGCCCCACCTTCCTCCCAGAATCACCAGGCCGGCCTGAACGCGATGCATAATCCCCACCTACCCCCCCGGCTCCCCATCTCTGCCCACCCGGCCAGTGGACCCTCTCAGCGCCCCTTGTGACCTGCCCGCTGACCCTTGTGCTGCATAAGCCTGCCCCCCCATGGCCCCCCCCCGCCTACGGCTACCTGGCGCCCCATGTGGCCCTTCCTCCCCCATCACCAGCCTCCTGGGGGAAACTCCCCCCCTCCCCCCCTCGCTCCCCATGTGGCACTTCCTCCCCCACCATCCTGCCCGCCAAGGGGGCCCCTTGGAGGGCCCCCTGCACTTGCCTGCCGCCCCTGGGGCCTGCTTCGGGTCGTCCTGGCCCTGGCTCCGTCACCTGCGGCCTCCAGCAATGGGGGCACCCTCCCGGGCCGCGCCCCGGTCCCTCCTGGCCCCGGGCCGTCCCGGGCCGCCGCCCGCCGGGAAGCTCCCCGCCGAGGCCCCGGCTGCACATTGGGAGGCGAGGCCTCAACCACATGGCCTCCGGGCCTGCTGCCGCTTCCGCCCGCTGCCTCCAGACCGCCGGTGCCGCCAACCTCCTGTCCTGCGCCCGGATTCAGGCGCCGTGGGGGCCTCCTGGCCTGCGCCTGCCTTCCTCCTCCGCCATCCCTTCCTGTCGCCGCCGTCAGGATCTGGTCCAGCTGGGCCCACACCCAGCCCGCTCCCTGTCGCAGCGCTGCTGACCAGACACCAGCCAGTAACCTCTCCACGTCCTCCATGGCCCTGCAGAGGGAGACAAAAGAAGAAAAGCCCTACCCAGCAAGTCCGTGAGCACCAGAGTGCACACAAACTCGACCAGGTAGGAGATTAAATGTGCTCCATCCAAAATGGCTACCTCTTTAAGTAGACAAACCCCTTTTACCCACAACCCACCAGTCCTGGCCAATTCCTCCTAAGCCCGCCTCCTAACCCCTGTCAAGGCCCTCCTCCGCTAAGCTATGCTTTTGCTACATGGGGCTACAGTACTATTTATGCTGTCTCTCCTTTTTGGGGAACCCATAGGTTTGGCATAAAAGCTATTTGATCACAGACATT